AATATTTGTACCTCTTAAAATATGATGAAAATCTTCAATGCGAGGAATTGGGTATCGATCAGGTATCGTCTGCGCATTCAATCGTCGGTAGTCTCCGCAAGGACGATATGAACCATCCTTTTTCGTAACAAGGTGCAAGGGGCTTGACCACTGGGAGTTTGATGGACGAATTATTCCATTGTCAAGCATAAATTTAAATTCCTCTTTAGCTATAGCTAAGCGTTTTGGATCGAGCTGTCGTGCCTTTGAATAAACGGGTTGACCAACAGTCGAAATAAAATGTGTAACACCATGTTTAATTTGTGTAGGAAAAAGGTTAGGTTTAGAAATTTCGGGATATTTCGACAGTAAATCGAAAATTTTTATGGATTTATTTAATGTGGTTACTGAGTAATCACTGGAAATAGCAGCGACATCACACTGGACACAAAGCTGTGTTACGCCATCAATTAATTTTTTCTTATTTATATCGACAAGCAATTTATATTTGTGAAGAAAGTCAGCTCCTAAAATACCTTTTGTGACATCAGCAATTATGAATGGAAACTGAAAATCACGACGTAATCCCAAATCAAGAGTTAGCGTTTTTATGCCATAAGTGGAAATATCTGTGCCATTAGCTGCATACAGTTTATATTCAGTTTTACATTTATTCTGTGAAGTAGCAGGAATTATGCTTACGTCAGCTCCGCTATCAATAAGAAAGTGCAAATTTGATCTTCGGTCACGAACGAATAAACGAAATTTGCGACAATCCTTCATATTTTCTGCAGCAGCGTTTGCCGCTGAACCTACTGCAGATTCGAGTTTTCCTGGTTTTTGAAATCGTTTTTTACCCAAGCACACGGAGGCTTGCATTTCTCTAGAATGAATTTTGCTCCAAAACGAAAGTGATAAAAACAAAATTTGCCAGTAGGGTCATATCGTTTACGAGGTTGGCTTCGAGATCGTGAACGTGAATTACGTAAATCCGAGTCCCTTCGTCTTGAGCGAATGGTTACTTGATCAATTTTTTGTTCAAGAAAGGTAATTCTTTGCAACAAATCATTTGCGGGAACAGAAGGAGCATTAGTACTAAATACTTCTGGTTTCCGATTCATATCACTAATTTTATCTGCCATAGACGCTAACTTGGTTACATCTTCATCACTAACTAATAATATATTTTTTATGGAGTCAGGTAGCTTCTCCAGCCATAAAGTTTTGATTAGATTTTCAGACACATCTGTAGTAGCAACTGATCTCAACTTCTGCAAACGTTGGCTTGGTTTCATGTCTCCAAGTTCGATACCAGTAATCAAACGTTTAATCCGTACATTTTCACTTTCTTTGAATAAATGTAATAACCTAATTTTAGCATCCGAATATTTTGTGGCACTATCGTTCGTTACAATGTCCCAAATATTTTCGACGAACTTAGGTTCAAGCTGTGAAACTAAATAATTAAATTTCGTTTCTTCTGAAACGATATTTCTAAGTTTGAACTGAGCTTCAACTTGAAAAAACCATATTTCCGGTTTATCAATCCAAAAAGGAGGTATTTTTCACACTCACCTTATGAAGCTCCGGTGACTGTATCGTATCTTTCATAGCAGTTTCAGAAGAGTCATTTGTTGACATTTCGAAAATTAATCAGGGTCACCACGATGTAGCCTTGGCTACTAATGTTTAAAATTAATTTATGACTAGTAACAGCATGAATTATAAACAAATAGCTAAGTTATTGCATTTTATTTTCCAGCTATCGAAATGCGACGCTACGAGCAACGTTTTGAAACCAAAACCTAGCAATCATGAATCAGAACTAGAACTAGTTGCCATTCAGCATAAAGAAATTTAAAATAAATATAAATATAAATATGAATATTAACAAAATATTAAAGTTAATTTTATAAAATAATTAAACACATGAACAAATATATGAAATAAAAAATAATTATTTCTCATGCAATAACTGGGCCACTACACTAATAAACCAAGATGAAGTTTTTTCTTTCTTTACATAGCCACTAATTTTTTCCCTTCTTTCTTCTTAACGAAAGTCGATTCCTTTACTCCTCAATAAAATTCCCCTTCTTATCTTTCTTCGCACCTATCTGTTTTCATCGGTGCAGAAAGACTTAGCGGGTGCAAAACAAGACCTCTCTACTTTGTCTGTCTGTTTCTTCTGAGTTGTTTGTGAAACCGAGACGGAGATTTTAGTGTGTTGCTGTGTGTAAGCGTAGGTGTATTTTTCCTTTTTTTTCTTTCTATTAATGCAGTTTTTATAACTGCTTTAAGGTGTAATCGAGTTAGTTATTGGCATTTTGCCCTATTCGACACTCATTGTGGGTATTGGCAAAAAATAGTAGGCACCAATTGATGTGATCGCGGTTAATGCTGTCATTCCGGTACGTAGACATATAAAATACATCTCCAATTAGGATCAACTATTCGGTTAATATTATCAGAACGTTATAGAAGGTAGTTTTCAAAGTGGAGTAAGTTCTTCAAAGAAAGTTAAAATTTTTTAAATTCCCGAATGACTTTAAGTAACTGTGAGTGGGAATTAGATTGCAGTTTTTTGGAAATGCATTGTAGAAAAAGCATTCATATTTATGAATATGCAATTAAGTTTTGTGTGTAATATGTTTTTTTGCTCTTTTATCTTATTATAAAGTATGGTTGCAATTTGTAAAGTATGTATTGGTAAAAGTATATTTAAGGGTACCCCTTGGCGACTCATGAATACGGAGTTTGTGCAATTCTTTGACTTGCTATTTTGGCTTGCTTAGCGGCGATTTAGCCAAAATAACAACATGAAGAATTTCTCAAACTCTGTATCCATGTACGCATCGACCTATTTTCACTTAAAAAAACATCCCACAATTGCTCAAAAATGGCATTGTGCACTCCCTTTACCTATGTACACATTGACCAATTTTCACTTAAGAAAAATCAGAGAATTCCGTAAGCTAGGCTAAATCGCCGCTATACAAAGCCAAAATAAAAAGACAGAGAATTGCACAAACTCGGTATCCATGTATGCATCAACCTATTTTCACTTAAAATAAACATCTCAGAATTACATGAACTGGGCTTTGTGCACTCCCTTGAGTTTGTCCATGTACACATCGAACTATATGCACTTCAAAAGTCAAAGCAGCCAACAAAAAAATATATAATCTCAATAAACTACATCTTAAATCAAATACTGAAATAACATGAAAAAGGAAATTCATCTTTGCACTACACCAGGGTTTAATTTCTAAGATTAGAAGTGCCGGAGCCCTATGGAAGACCGTTAGCAAAGAGGAACAAGAATACATAAATAAATAAAATGGCTGTTAAACTTGTGAATAGTTTTAAAATTAAAAAGTTAATTATTATCAAATTAATTAATAGCTATTTTATGAATGTTTATAAATTGTTATTTAATAAATAATTATTATATAATTAATCATAATTAATTTATAATTACTAGATAATTTAATTATAAGTTAAATGATAATTAATTATTATTTATTGAAGTAATTAAATTATTAAAATTAAATAAAATATAAAGAGATAAATTGAAATTCAATAAGCAATTTTTAATAAAATTTTGGAGATAAAATTTCTATTGAAATTGTTATTCAGTTACATAAAAGAAATGCTGCAGCCTTCTTATTCAGGGCTCCGGTGCGTTCCGGCTAGAATTATGAACTATTACAAAAACTAAGAAGCACCGGAGCTGAAATCTGGTGGACTCCGGTCCAATTTAAGCTCTGATCATAGGGGGAGGGTTCTTTTATCATCACAGTGTGTAACGTGCATACGAGCCAGTTTCCCTTAGAAAGTCCTCCACGAAAGGCATCCCTCCCCTTAGGCAGATAGCCCTCGTGTGCTTTGCCATAATTAAATACACCACCACCACCACCTTTTATCATCACAAAAATCAAATATACTTGAAGTATACAGCTGATGAAAATTCCAGGGCAATCTTGGTAAGAGAGAACGTTGTCTTTGACCGCAGTTCTCTGCTGATATAATTATAGCCATCAAGCAGATGTGTGTCAAAGTAAAATGAGCCCTCTAAGTCTGACTCCTAAGGATGAATGTAAAGTTGCTGGTTACACTTTTCGCCTCCCCCCCCCGTATTTGGTTAAATTAGTGGACACTGTGGGAAGACGATGTATAGGACGTGCTTGAGCAGTTTATCTCAGTATTTCACTCTTATTGTACTAGCTGTCACTTAACGCACATTTAGGAACACAAATTTTCCTTCCTGCGATGATAACTAACTGTAAGCATCAATAACAATACACTAGATAAGATGGCATGGTGAGAAATTTACGCATTTTTAAACAAACTCCCCCAAATTTATTGCCGTGCTTAAAAAGTGAAAGGTTTTCGCATGTGAGTGAGGGGACTTTACTTGAACGTCTCATGTTCTCATGAGTTCATATAGAGTATTGCAAAGTCTGCTTATTGTTAAACTAAAACGTCAGAAATTCTAATTTTTTTTCCCTTTAAATAATGTTTCAGTTTTATAAAAAGAAGTACCGGAGTTCATCTTATTTAAGGGTCCAGTGCGTTCCGGCTAAAATTGTAATTTATCTTAAAAATTGAGAAATACCGGAGCCGCACTCCGGCGCAATTTAAGCACTGCACTACACAAAGGAAATATCCACTTACATTATTTACGAATTTTCACCTTTTCAGTCAAAGAAAATTCCTTAACAGCATCCAAAACTTCCTAAAGATATCTGAACTAGAATCTGTATACTGGCATCGCCACATAAATTCACAAAATAATAGTTAAAAATATCCTTCATAACGACATTTGACCGTACGCATTTCCTTCGGTTGATCTTTACATTATGGTAACTTGGCGATTTTTTGGCGAAAATTTGGCAACCAACTCTCCTACAGCAACCCTCTATTTTTTTTTTTTTTCCCCGCCGCCATTTTGTCTTCATGAAGTAAAGACATGTTTCTTTTCTTTTTATCTACTGAACACTTCTTCCAACAATCTACTAGCCGAATTACACTTATGCTAGAAATTTTATCAAACAAAACTGCTTAATCATGACAAATATTCACTGCAAAATTGGAAAAAAGTGCACAATATCATGCTCCTTACGCGTTTTTGAAAATAACACATACACATAAACCATGTACACGCCGACTTATTTTTACTTAAAAAACATCCCAGAATTGCACAAAAATGGCATTGCGCACACTCTTCACTATAATCCATGTACACTGCTTTTTTCTCATAAATTAGAAAAATTTCACGAAAATACTTGACAATTTTCTCAATCTTTAAAACCGGTAAAAAGAACATATATGAAATTACCTGATAGCGAAAAAGTATATACCCTTTCCAAATATGAACATTTCCACATATAAAATAAATAAAATATCCAAAAACTTTTACCTCTAAATCATCTATTACATTATACACGTTACCAACAAATTCATACCGCAAGCATTACAAATAGTTAGTATCAAATATTTAAATTATTTCCATGCACGTTTATTTCAACTTAAACATATACCAAATTCCTACAAACATAAAATTCACAAAATAACTATCATTTCATTAAAATATCACTAAACCATGTACACGTCGACTTATTTTTACTTAAAAAAACATCCCAGAATTGCACAAAAATGGCATTGCGCACACTCTTCACTATATCCATGTACACTGCTTTTTTCTCATAAATTAGAAAAATTTCACGAAAATACATGACAATTTTCTCAATCTTTAAAACCCGGTAAAAAGAACATATATGAAATTACCTGATCGCGAAAAAGTATTTACCCTTTCCAAATATGAACATTTCCAAATATAAAATAAATAAAATATCCAAAAACTTTTACCTCTAAATCATCTATTACATTATAAACGTCACCAACGAATTCATACCGCAACCATTACAAATACTTAGTGTCAGATATTTAAATTATTTCCATGCACGTTTACTTCAACTAAAACGTATACCAAATTCCTACAAAACTAAAATTCACAAAATAACTATCATTTAATTAAAATAATTAAATTCAAAAACACTACTTAAAAATATAAATGAGCACATACATTAAATTAATAAAAATTACCTTACAATCCTAATTACTTTAAACTAAATCATTGCTAATAACAATTTTCCCAATAATACCAAATTCCTTTTCCACCTTACATTTAGAACAATGCATAAAAATAATATCCTCAAATAATTAAAATACTAACTTACCTAATCTTCTTCAGAATCTTGATTATGTGGCGGATACAATTTTCTAATTCATTCAATAAAATTATTGAAAGATTTTTTCTGCGAATTTTTCCTCCATACTTCCTCCGCTAAATAAAAAGCAAACTTCTCTTTATCACAATGCCTAAATACCCATTTTGAATTCACTTTAATTAGGGCCATGGGATCCAAAAATTAAACAACACTGTTTCACACAACACAGAATAAAGCTAAATACAAAATTTCCACATTTTTTCTCGATTTCTCCCCTTTTCTGATTAAAGAACCGTAATTCGTCCATTAATATCACATGACATATCCCATGGTCTCTCATTTCCCTCACGCAAAATAATGCATAATCGGAACTGAGTACTGCTCACATTATTACCAAAGTCCCAGGTAGTAACCTTTATCGCCTCCAAAATGTCGCCAAAACTACCAGTTACCATAATGTAAAGATCAACCCAACTTAAACGTATACCAAATTCCTACAAACATAAAATTCACAAAATAACTATCATTTCATTAAAATATAATTAAATTCAAAAACACTACTTAAAATATAAATGAGCACATACATTAAATTAATAAAAATTACCTTACAATCCTAATTACTTTAAACTAATCATTGCTAATAACAATTTTTCCAATAATACCAAATTCCTTTCCACCTTACATTTACAACAATGCATAAAAATATATCCTCAAATAATTAAAAATACTAACTTACCTAATCTTCTCAAAATCTTGATTACGTGGCGGATACAATTTTTTTTAACTTCTGTTTCAGAATCTTTAATCTACTTATCTTTCAAAGCAAGATACCAGGTAAAATAAATAACATAATAAAACATCTTTATTTCTCTCTCGCACAACCTTAAAAAACATTTATTACTATCCTTTTCAATACCACTAAATACCCATTTCGAATTCACTTAGTTACGTCCATGGGATCCAAAAATTCACAAACACTATTTCACACAACACAGAATAAAGCCAAATACAAACTTGCCAGATTTTTTCCCGATTAAAGAACTTAATTCGTCCATTAATATCACATAACATATCCCATGATCTCTCATTTCCCTCACACAAAATAATGCGTATCAGAACTAAATACTACTCACATTCTTAACAAAGTCTAACTAACCTAATCTTCTTCCGAATCTTCCTTACATGGTGGATACACTTTTATTATGGATTCAATAAAATTACTGAACGATTTTTTTTCCGAATTTGATAGAATTTGATAAAAAAAAAAATTCTCTTTATCACATCTACAATTCACTTTAGACAGCGCCATACAATCCCAAAATTATTCAACCCTAATTCACACAACACACAATGAAGCTTAATACAAAATAATATACATCCACAGATACTTGTCCAAATTCCCCCCCCCCTTTTCCGATTAAAGAACCATAATTCGTCCATTAATATCACATGACATATCCCATGATCTCTCAATTCTCCCACACAAAATAATGCGTAATCGGAACTGAGTACTGCTCGCATTATTACCAAAGTCCCAGGTAGTAACCTTTATTGCCTCCAAAATGTCGCCAAACTACCAGTTACCATATTGTAAAGATCAACCGAGAATGGTTTATCACATAAAAAACGAAGCAATTTAAACAATTTACATTGAAAGAAATGTTTAATAAAGTAAACAAATAAATATTAAGCTTTTTTTTTTTTTTTGTAAATTTTGATACCCTTTAGATCATGATTGTTCTTTATTTCATAAATTACGGTTTCATATTTTTAATTTTATAATTTCTGCATGTCATCTTACCAGATTTAAAGTGATGAACTATAATCCGAAAAAATCGATAATCTGGAATCGCCGAAGTCCCGACGAATCCGGATTAACAACTTTTGACTGTAATGCCTACTAAGTAAACTTTCATTTACACACCAGTCAAGTAATGGTCTTTTCTCCTTTCTTTTCAAATCATACAGAAACTTCAACTTACCACATTCGGCCATTTTACCGTCTAAACCACATAACAAGCAGTATACTTCCTAACCAACACACGCATAACAACAAGCCGTTATGAATTTACTGCAATGATTATGTCATAATAGGGTTTCCATATATCATTCAACTGCTCAAGCTGCCATAAATGAAACAACAACAACTTGGTGATAAATGAAACAACTTGGCAATAAATGAAACAGTAACTTCGCAATAATACAAGGGGTACACTAAAGTCAACTCTAACCCATGTATTTTAAATATATTTAACATGGTATATAAATTCTTAAATGGTATTTCATGTGTTTCTAATTTAATGAAGCTATCTGATTCCTTCTGAAATGTGGCCTAAATTGTCTCATGCCCCCCTTAAGTTCTTGCATTAACTAATCAAACCAAATTCAAGTACTAGTCAGTAAGTTTTTTTTTTAATATTGTTTCAATTTATAGAAATATTTTAGTTTCATTAACTTCTTTATGGTTAAACCATTGAATAACATTTAATTAAAATACTGTAAAAAATAAAATATGTTGTTTACAGTAACAGCATTTGTTAAGCACCTGTGTACAATTTGTGTAGCACATAGTCCAAGATTCTGAATCTTCATAATTTTGGAAATTTCCAGGTTTTAGATCATTAATTTAAATCTAGTGAGATTACATTTAGAAATTACAAAATTAAAAATATGAAATAATGAAGATTTAAGAAATCAAAATTTGCAGAAAAGGCCCAGCATTTGTTTATTTTGTTAAATGTTTCCATCTGTGTGAGTTGTTTAAGCTGTCTCATTTTTAAGCTCATATTCTTTATTTACTTTTATACACAGACAGCATTTCTTATTTTCAGTTACAAAGATCCATTGTCCAAGTCCTGTAATTGCTGTGTTGAGATTTTCCAGTAAAATTATCATTCAAAATCATTTAATTCTCAGCATCATCTTTATCATTTTCTTCACTACTGTTTGTGACATTTTCTGGATTCAAAACCCATACTACAGTGTATACCACCTGTTGATTGATGATTAGGACTTTGTCATTGCAATGGGGAATTGAAATAAGTGATCTTCATTTATTATCCCCAAGGGGGTTTGTGTTGTCGTCGTTCCCATCAAAGCGATAACCTAGCTCTCTTTTCTTTAGCCCTGATTTATGCACCATATAAAATGTAATTTTTTTAGATATAAAATTTCAAAGATTTTTATATAGTATAACTAGCAGTTAGCTTATATTGTTTTGTACAAAAGCTAAGCTGTTTTATCAAGAATTAATAGTGTTTACATAAATGCAAAGCATTATGTCATGCTTATCCATTATAAGAACTAAATCATAGCAGAGTTACAGATCTCTTATTTACATAATTGTATGTTATAAAAAAGTTCTTAAATTCAAAAATATTCTGGTTAGTTGAATAAAAATTATGATGTACTGATTAAAGGCTTGACACTGTTTTTATTTTCTTCTAGGTACTGTTTACTGAAAATGAAAGAGGAGGTACCTGAACTTTCAGTTGATGCCATTGCATATTCTGTAGTTTCAGGTGATAATAGATTTTCTAGAGCATATGATTCAAAAGTGGAAGTTATTTTTGATGAATTTCGTCAAAATGATTACGTATCCATTCTGTTCCTACTAAATGGTTATGTTGACAATGATTGTGCGACCGAAAGCAGTGACTTTTTGTCCATTATTAGAGGAGAAGACCATATATTAAAGAAAAAAGTTATGACAGTACTAAAAAATTGTAAAAGTAAAGCTTTTCTTCTTATTGAAATACTTATTGTTCTGAAAAAATATCGTTTACTAAGACTTTTGCAAACATGTTCACATGTGCATGGAATATCTGCTTATTGTCAAATACATCAATTTTGGTAAGGATTCAGTAAATACTTTTTTATGTTGAAGTGATTTTATTTTTAATGAGATATTATCATATATTTCTGAATGTAAGAGTGTGTTTTTTTTTTTTTTTTTTTTTTTTCTTCCAAAAATTGACCCCAAATTCAAAACCCATATATAAACCAAAACAAAAATAAATTCCTGTGACGCTCAAACATGTTATGCCATGAAGACAAAAATCTTGGAAAACTGGTAAAATAGATGAAATATTTTCCAACTAAACTGTTGTTAACTAAACTGCCAGATGGTAAAGATGATAGTTTTAACTCTGGTTAAATCCTATTCGAAGCTGGCATATTTTTTCTATTCATTTGTTGTATTGTATAGGATCTGTTGTTATCTGTACTAGTCTTTTTTTTTTTTTTTTTTTTTTTTTTTTTTTTTGTGTGTGTGTGTGTGTTCTGTTTTATTTTTTTTGAAAGATGATTGGAGAGAAATATTCTTATATAGCAGAATGCAAACTATGGGGGATCACATTTACTGGAAATTCTAATAACAATATGTCTTCTAGGCATTTCTTCATAAATGAAAAACAAATTCAAGAGTGGAGGGAAAAAACACATCAGCAATATAAACAATTTTGAAAATAAAATAACTCACTTTTCATAAAACAAATAACTCATTTCATTTTAAATAAATTTTTTTCAGAAACTAAGAAATGTAATCCAAAAAAATAAAGTATGGTGTGTTTCGCATTTTATGATTTGCGCCCAACTAAGGGAAAATTACCCAAGTTTCTTGCAGGTTTAGTGGATCTGTATATAAGCCAACCACCATAATTTAGCTTTAGAAAAAGTTCCAGAATTTCTCATCTTGTACTTGGAAACATATGGTATATCATTTGAGGATTGACTGCTTGAAAACTCAAAGAGTACTTCATATCATTTGACAGAAGTAGTCACAAAGACATTTCTTTTCTGTTAATAATCTTGTTTGGGTAATGGGAGACTGCAATGAATAACTCTTAATATGGTAATAATTGCTTCTTTTCATGTTGTCATAAATAGCTGAATTATATGTGAAGTGATAAAGATTCTGATTTTAATTTTTGATTGAAGTTCTCAGTTCGGAAGTGAAAATTATTTTTCCTGCGAGTCATGAATTAGAATTAAATTCATTTGATGAAATCTGCAGTAAAAATCTTAGCAGTGCACAGCCAAACCAACTCCTGTAATGTAAAACTTAAAGAAATGAAATTTTGGAATAATTTTAGGGAAAATTGTGATTTTTAAATGATATTTTCAACATTAAAAAAAATTGTTTAAAATCAGCACCTTTTAATCTCATGTATTTACCAGATAAATTTTGGTATTATTTCTCTATGTGCTATCAAAATTAACTGGTAAGGATGATAGTCTTTGTGTAAATCACAAAACCAAAAATTGCATCAAATGAAGTTGCAACTTTTTTTAGCGTATAAAAATCTTTGGAAAAATAAAACAACTTATTGGAAATTTAAAAGCATGTTTTGAAATCTAAAAATGTAAAGAAACTGTTGATAACATGAGTTTTCTGAATGCAGATATAAATTTTCTTGTTACTTAACGGTTACTGATTACTTTGAATTCAAGCTGCAGTTTAATTTTTAAATTAAAAAAAAATAAATAAATAACATTAACTCTCTGACCGGCATGGGGTTGCACTACGAAAGCCCAAATTTCCAAAAACTGCCATGAGAAAGATATATTTCCTCGATTTTAATGCCAAAATGCCCCTTGTACTTTATAACCTCCATTTATGTACTTTTAATATATTGCCTAATTTCTTGGGAATATTTCAATGCCTATATGTATACCTTCTTACAGACATCACAAAAAATATTCTAAGCCCCATATATATATATAGAGAGAGAGAGTATACAGTCTTGCCAGTCTGAAGGTTTTATAGTAAGTGTTAAAAAATGAGAACAATTTCAATATAAATGTGATAAAGCACTTAATTTATTGAGAATTATTAGGTATACCATCAGTTTCAGCATCTTCACATTCAGAATTTGAATTCCCTTTTTCGTTATTAGCCCAGAGCATATCATCTTCAATCCCATTTAAATCATTAATACTGCAGTATTAAAAAAAATAAAATAATACCTTCAAAAATATTTTTACAAGGCTCCCACTAAGCTATTTTTTAAGATTTTGCTTGTTATATTTCATAAATATTTGCTTTGAATTTAAGCTTCATGCTAATTTTATGTTAAAATTCTAAATAAAAATTGAGCTTAAATTCAAAGTAATACAGTAGTTGATGTTGCAAAGTGGGAAGGTACATTAAAACTTAGCAGAAAACTTTCTTGAATCTTGAAACTAGCATATTTAGCTGTTTTATTATTCAGTTGGGCAATGTAACATGTTCTTTCTTTATTTAAATATTATCATAAACTTTCTATCTTATTTTTACAAGCTATTTGTATTTTTAATTTGGGCTCTACTCTTATATGCACCCTAAGATCACCAAATGTGGCGATATGTATTCTGCGCTGGCTTTTGGCACGATTCTGTGCTGTGGGATGGTTTGGTTGACGATGCTATTTGTATGGCAACCCTTTCGGCGTTGAAACTTAGAGACGTGGTGGCAAGATTTCAGTCGCGTATTTTAGATTGCATGGAAAGTAAATTTAGCATTAAAAGGTACGATGGTGGTGTTCGAGATTTGCAAGAACTAACCGTTCTCCTTTCTCCTAATAAACTTAAAATAAAATAACTTTACATATAAAATTCTACAGTGTCATATTATTTTTCAAATCCACAGAACTGCAACAAACTACAACAAAGATCAGATGGTTGCCACTCTTGCAGTGATAAACTATGAAAAGAAAAATAACAACTGAGGCTGGGTTCAAACAGGTGGAGTTGTTAACGAGTCTTTTGTTCACGTTTGTGTTTATGTGGATAGAAGTGCATTTTTAGAATTTTTGTGGCAGCCAGGACTTAAAACAGAGTTTGGCGTGTCTGAAATATGGATCTGATATGAGAAGTCGGACGAAAAATTGTGTTTCTGATTGACTTGTGTGGGTTTGCAGTCAAATGGTTGCTGCTAATGTACGTGACTGTCAGCAGAGTTTAAGATTTGGATTGTGGTTTTCATGTTGTAAGTTAACTTTGGAGGAAGTTTTTATTGTTACTTTCGAAATTTTGAATCGCAGAAAGACATGTGATACAGCAAAATCGTGGCACTTTTGTTGACAGACGTTGTGTGACTGGCGAAATTTTATTCACTTATGTATTACGGTAAGTGCATTTTATTTTATTGTTTTTATTTTGTAGAATGTTATGTTCATTGTTTTTTTACTATGAATTTCTGTTGTTATTTGAATTATTTTAGTTTATTTTGTTGATTTGTGCGCAATGCCTAGATTGTGCAATTCGTAGATTTTTTATAAGTTTAAACAGAATGCTGTGTACATGGTATTCTTTGAAATTTATTGTTGTTATGTTAATTTATTAAAGCAATGTGTGTGTAGTTGGTAGATTCTTTCGCTGACTAGATTGTGCAATTCATAGATATTTTTTTTAAAGTTAAAACATATTGTTGTGTACATGGATTCTTGTTAAATATTTTCGGTTAGAAACTTTATGTTTTTGCTATCTAAATTTTTTGTTTTTGTTTCGGATTTTTGGCTTAAATTGTGTCTTTAAAACGTGGTTTTTGGAGACATTTTAGGCTTAAAGTTTGAAATGTAGACAAAAAATTTAGATAGTGATATGGCACCGTGGATGGCGAGAAATTTGGCGACCCGAGGCCGCATATAAGAGTAGCTCCTTAATTTGATTCAAAACTGCCCTCTATAATATAATTCTTGTGTTTTATTTGTATATTGATTCATAATGAATGGTATGCAAAATATAGAAAAATATGCAATAGTGTGTAAAAGAAATTACCTCTGGACAGTTTATCTTCAGATAAGAAAAGTGAAATGTTATTAACTAAAAGTTAGTTTTATGAGTTATACACCTTCATATGTTAAACATTTTACAATTAGTAACTGTTTCAAAAATAATTAAAAAATTCATCCAAAGACTAGTTTAGCCTTAATAAGTAACAGTTAAGGAGAAACATTTTGTGTTGATTACAATCAATATGGGCTGTTTTTTTTTTCGATTAATGTAATTGCTAATTTGCTTTCATGAGACTTGTTTTTATGTTGATAAATGATGCTTATTTTTATGTAATATCTACTTGTAAACTGCTGGTCATTAGAATTGTTAAATTAGGAGAGAAGGGCATAACAAACCAGGAATTTGTATGAAAGGTAGAATATGCTGAGTAATGCAAATGATTAGCATTTCTTGGTATGTACACATTACAGAGGCATGAAGAAGTAGTATAAAAAGACAGATTGAGCAGCCAATTTTTCAGTTGAAAATTATATCTAGCCATTGTTTCTTTTGTTTTTGAGGTTGTGTCATGCCTTGTATAAAATGAAGGAACTTGGATCAGCCCATCTCACAATTTGATCACAGGAGACTTGTAGCTTAGCAGGATTGAGGATTAACTAACTGCACATTTGCTCTCATGTCTGTGGGTGTGGTCAGAATCCAAGCCTTGGGGGGGGGGGTGCAGACATCCTTAAAACTTAAAAAAACTGAAGATGCATTCAAATACACATTTGGCAAGTGGATAAAACTGCTGTTGCAATAGTTGTTTGGGTGAAGCTTTCAAAAAGCAGCAGGGTGGCTGGCTGCATGAGCATTTTCTTGTTTTTTTCACATATAACATGAGTAAGAACCAGCTTTCTTTTGAAATTCCTTCCCAGAAGCATACCTCCTCATTGGCAGATAGCCCTAATGACGTGCTTTACCATATACTAATAAACGAGCAAATAACCAATGGGATTGAATGCATAAAATGTAAGCAGATTGATGAAGGTTGACAATTAGGAATAAAGATACTTCAGACTAATCTGATTTAATGAACTCCTCCCTTCTCCAGACTAATTTGCTTTTAATAACACAACAATATTTCTTATCTGGGA